GATTGAAGCATCAAAATATGGTATGACCTTTGCCCGTACGAAATGCAGTACTAGTCCTGGATTGGCATCCATCTGCACCAGTGCTCACTCTTCAAGGTACGCAGCTTGAATATGCAGATAACTTTGTTTATCTGGGAAGCTTTGTCGCTGCTAATAGTAGCACTGGAAAAGATATTTCCCTCTGCAGTGCTAAAGCCTATTCGGTATTCACCAACTTGAGCCATCTGTGGCGACGCCGTGGCGTTTTACTATTGGTAAAGGGCAGGATCTACAGTGCCTGTGTTCGCGCGGTGCTGTTGCCTGGGAGTAAGTCCTGGCCGATTCATGTGAATGACTTGCGTCAGATTTCGGCTGTTGACGATGGATGTCTGTAAAGAATAGCTCGAGTGTGGTGCATGAACCACGTGCGCAATAATGATGTTAGACGTCGCGTTTTGGGTAAAACGGGACTTCCACTTGACAGGCAGATCACGCTGATTCAGCTGAGATGGCTTGGCCACGTTTTACGCATGCCACGCGAACGACCGCCGACGCGTTCCTTTCGCTCGTCCAGGACCAGGCTGGAAGAAACAACGCGGTCGTTGGCCTATCACATGGTGACAAATGATCAAAGCGCTGACTTCCAGGGCTGGGGGATCAAAGATGATGAACACCGCTGGCTGAAAACTGTTTCGGGGATGGTGCAGAACCGGGCTGAATGGAAAATGTGCACGAATATTTGTCTTGCTTCTCGTGATTTACATAGCAAACATTAAACTGACAACAAAGATAAAACGGCTTGTGAAAAAATACACAGGCAAGATACTACTGCAAAAATGCGTTCTTTAACGTTTATCCTTTTCTCCTTCTGGTGGTTTCTATTTTTGTCTTCCATTTCTTGGTTTTCACTGTCTATTTTAACGACGGTTTTTAACATATATATATATATATATATATATATATATATATATATATATATATCCGTTGTTTGCGCGCCGGAGATGCGGATGGAAAAAGAGAACATCTGGTCAAACGGTGACTTAGTCAAGATTATTGTAGGCCCTTACTTCGAAGTTAGCCTCGGTTGGAGCCTATCGGCTCCTTGGTTGGGGACCGAAGGATGATGAATACGTTTGGCTGGAGACACTTTTTGACCCGCTTAGGAGCCGACCTCAATGGCTTTTGTGTTGTGAGTTTCTTTGTCCCTCCCTCTCCCGCTTAGCTTCCCCCTCCAAACATGACCTTATTTATTGGGAATAATATAACTCCTTTTTGCGACACAATAGCCGACTGTTTGCTCTCCGGAACGATGTCCATCCGTTACTAGTGTTTCAGGCGGTGTGCCTGTTTCTTGTTTTTCTTTTCTCTTGTATTGCGGTACAATAGCTGAGGTGTTTTCCACCTACAGCTAATGTGTATAATGGTGATGATGATAGCATTTAGAAACTGTTAGGGTCGATGTCTTTTGACGTACTCATGGGTAGGGGGTTTTGATATATTTAATTGCGAGTCGTCTCAGTTAGTTCCAAATCAGATGGATGCGCACTACTGATGATGCCTTACAGGCCGAAACTACAGTCTAGTGCATTTCTGGGCATGTGGACGACCATTAGATTTGGAACTGGCTGCAACGAACCCTCAGTTACTTATATCCAAATTCCCTACTCATGAATACTTAGGATTATTTATTCACTAGCAATGCTACTGGGATCGCTCCATGTACTAGCTTTTATCGGATTGCGACGGTAAAGATAACCAGTTATCCTCAGACTGGTCCGACTTCATTGACCCTGTCTGTAAGCTATAACTCCACGCCGCACTGATTACTTACATTCAGTCTAACCTACAGCGATTTTCTGCTTTTGTTGATAGTATTATTGCCTACTCATGGAATCCATCAGATTTCCCTCAAGTGTTACCACGTATTCGAGCTTGTGTTCTCCGCTCTGCTTCATCAGACCATTGCGAAATAGTCTGGATTCTTTTCCTTTTCAGCCTGGCTTTGAATCACTAGACGTTCGGCGAACGATACTTTTCTGTTGGGCAAGTATTTCAACTGCCTCACACTTCGCCCTGCACTTTTCTCTTTCTCTTAACAATTCCCATCTATCCTGGCGTTACTTGCAACTCTTCCACCTGTGTTTGCCGATTTTCCTCTTAAACACTAATTATCCATCCTTATGATACTGTTTGTTATTTTACCACGAGACTTTGGATTAGTGTGAAGGACATTTGTAGCATTCTTTTCTTATTCTCACTGAGTCCGATCTCGAACCGCTCGGTTTCGCCATTCGTTGTTTAATCACTGATTCTCATATCTTTTTACTTTAGCACTTCGGATTTACTCTGCTCCTACTGGGATCAGTGCACCTTACACCATAATTATGCACAGTTCTCTGTTTCACGATGTTTGTCTACGCGAACTTTATGGGAATAAATGGACTAACCGTACCAACACTATTCATCACCACATTAAATTTGGTATTTCAGAGAAGCGGATTCCCGAAATTGGCATAGAGTTCTTTGAATGCCGCTCATCACAGTCTTTTCGGCTGCATTCCATGCTGGATGGGGTATGTTTTTCGCTCAGCTTTACAACGTTTAGAGCGCCCCTCCATTCGCTTGTGACTTTTCTCCGAGTAAGCTCCATTTCGTGCTGACCTCTTAGAATTACCTGATCTACTTCTAATCGCTCAAGAGGACGGATTAGTTCATCTGTACGACACTTCTCTGGAAGGAGTACAGGCGTTTTTAAAAGGTTCGGGTATTTTGCTGTCTTCGTACTACTCATTTTGTCCCCGTTTTGTTCGTGAGTCGTATGCTTATTCTTAAGTCTTTAGGGTGCCTTCTCTATTGAAGCTTTTTGCGGTCAACTTGAATTTTCAGCTTGATGAGCTGCTGATGCCACTCTCTATCCGGCTATTTGAAACTAGTTGATATGCGATCCAAAACTACGTGTTTTCATACTTCGTATACCATTGCAAAACGGAAAGACGATGTTTACTTACTAGAGCCTACCTTCTACACTCTTTGGCACAAGCAGGAAATGCCTTGTGATTAGCGGTTGTCAGACGTCACATCTCCAAAAAGCGCCAAAGAAGTCAGTGCGATAATCGCCGTGCTATCAGTTTCATCTTACCTGCCTTCAAGCTACTGCCATCCCGCCGCGTCCTTGCGGACAGGCCTTTGAGGTAAAGGCTTTGGTTTTGGCACCATGACAGAATCTCTATCCACGTTTAACCATGCTCAGTGACTGGTTATGACGCGAGACATTGAAAGCCACAAGAAGCCATCTAGCTGATGCCACCTTACCTTTTCATGATGGCCAGCTTTTTACGACCATAGGTTTTGATAAGATGTGAAAGTCTTGACCTCAAATGTTTGATAATGGCATCTTGGTTTTGAACCAGATACGCCCTCTCTTCCTCTTATTATTCTTCATTCCTTATGTGGCTGTGATTGCATGGCAGCGAAGCATCAGTTCCCTTGGCTGATGTACTGCTTTTGATATTGATGATGATGACGATGACATGCATCATGTTGCGACGGCTCACTGTTCCTCATAAACGAAGAATCAACGAAACGCTGACTTTCTTCCTTCTCGGTAGTGGCTACGTTCATTACATTTGTGAATTTCAGGTGCTCAAACGTCACCATGCCTACAAACGGCCCATCGTGGTAGCCTTGCTGGACTTGAAGATTACCGATTCGGTTGGCCGTGCCTGAACATGACGGTGCCATGCTCTGAAGTGCGTCCCTGTTATGGCGTAGCGCTCCCCTGTCAATAGTTTAGCCGAAAGTTGCACGTGACGCTGAAACGGGGTGTTTAGTCAACGCACGGATTGGCTAATGCACTGTGTCCTCTAATCCCAACAAACCATGTACACTCGGCTTAAAGACTAGACGCGTTTACGAAATACGTGAAGCTGGCCTACTAGCTTGACGCATGTTCACGTGACGACGGAAGTCCTTGCCAGCCGCACGAGAGAGAAAACAAAAGGCGAGGCGGGCTTTTGAGCTCTTTTACGACCCACAAAGGCCTATCACACTTGGCACAGCGGTTACTTTTCTGGGTGAAATAGATCACCACATTGTTCACGTTAACACAGTTGCGCCCTGACGGATTGGCTGGGTCGTGCTGCGTTGCGAGTAGGAATTGAACTCTGCCTGGTGCTGCCCACATATTAGAATTTGTTGTCCATTTTTGCGGAATTACTTGACATCCCCCAACAATTCCTGAGATAATTATCTATACTCGAAGCTCGCTAAACCGCGACTATCGAGGCGATGTAAGGACTTTCGTGATGCCTCTACGCGTTTACCACGACAAGGGGAATACTTAAGGGCTCCCTTATTTCCCTCTTTCTTTCTACTTTTTTGATCGAATAAGTATGGATGACTCAGTCTTACTTTCACTTATTCTGGGATTGAGCCCTGGGGTCACTTGGCCGTACGTTGACGGAAGTTACGTTTGGATCAGACCTAGCTACTATGTCAGCCCCACTAAATAGACTCTTGCACAACACCGTACGCTTCGCATGTATTTTACATCTTTAACATTTGCAGCGCTACTGCAGGACTGAGCTGACACACCACTGTTTTCATAATCGTGAAGGAACTACGAGGTTGTTTATCGTTTTACTTTTTCAGTAACCGCATCACCTTTGTGGTCGCATCATGACAATTACCGCGCTCCTTTCGATGACTCGTACTAGTTGTGGTAACTACAGATGTAAGCCTGTTACTAAACTGAAGGATGTACCACACCGCGATGTTGCTTGCGTTACTGTATGGACCAGATACGTAACCGCCTCGCCCTGAGACTTTAAGAAACTGACCGAGTCCAACCACCGATATATGCGCGTAGTGGCTCATATCTTGAGGGGAGGACCGAGTGATTAGCGCTTAAGTTCGTCATCCACTATTCGGCAACAAGCCCTCCAGTGGCCCATCCGTTTGCTCCACATGCAAACGAGTCGTTTTCCGCAGTGTTGTTGCATCTAGACAGATGGAACCCCGAGGTCGTCGGTTAGCAACATAGCAGAGTATAAAGAAATAGAACCGTCGATTCATCGCCTCCTTGAATGGGGACCTCGGGATAGGCGGCATCTACGATACGATATTTCATAGGGCATGGCAAAATCACAGTGTACATGGATCGGGCTATATCTCAATTGTATTTCAATCCATAATTGTCAGCTATCGTCCCAAATTGCTCACTAGCATAAACTGCTGGCTAGTGGTGCAAGGCGAGTTCGGTTACCTGAAGGGGACCGAGATAATGCGCACTACTGACGAACCCCATTAGGAGAAAACGATCTACTGATGTCCGGATTGCTGGTGGACTTATGTGGTTTGTAAGCCAATTTCGGCGAACCAATCTTCGAAATGCTATGTGGATTCATTGTTATTTGCAAGAGAAGTCCTGATATTTGAGGGCCAACTACTGTCCTCTGCGCATACAATAACCTGCCTGTCAACGAAGGATGGGTCGAGCTATATCGCACTTGGATTTCAATCCACGATAGCATGGCTCGGTGTCATAAGTTGCTGACTGCCGGTACAAACCGCTTGTAATTCCCTTGTAGTGAGCTAAGTGAATCATGTAGTAATTCGTACCATTGCACTCATACATTTTGATGGCCCTTAACTTCTTCCTCTGAGATTTTCACTTAACAAGGCGCCAATTCTTATACCGCTGTTGTAATCGTTTGTTGTGTTGCTGCTTACAGCACGGATAACCGATACAGCTACTCGGCTGACGGTCCAGTCACTTCCCAAAACCAGTGGACCAAAGGTCTATGGCAGACAGTATATATGGCCAAAATATGAGGTCAAAATAACTAATTCACGAAAGAATGACCTAATTGAAAGTTCCTTAGTTCTAGCAATCACTAGATGCGCAAGAGCTCGCTTGTTGGCCGTTCAAGCGGAGCGCTTACCGGAGGGCTTAAAGGTAAGTTATTCTTATTGGTCCACTTCAAGGTAAAACGATACCATTGCCTTACCCCCACTGGCTAGTCACAGGCTGCTGGATTTCGAGGACTGCTATGGACGGGCTCCCTTGACAACCCCCCGTGAGGTCAGACTTGAAAGTGAATAGGGCCGCAGGAGCGGATAGAATCCCTCCGGCTCTCTTCAAATTTGGAGGACTTGCTCTTATATATGATCAGCATAACTTTCTTGTGAAGCTGTAGGAGAAGGAAACTGTCCTAACCGACTTTAGCCGCTCGATTGTAGTCCCAATTTTCAAGGGGCTCACGTTCTGAATGCGACAATCCTGGAGTCATCTGTCTGAGCTCACTTTGGCTCTAAGATACTTGCTTATCTTCTTCTTCATAGACTTAATGGCACATCTGAAAGCCAGATTCGCGAAGAGCAAGTCGGGTTTCGTTGCATTCACGGCTGTATTGATCACATCTTTACGTTAAGTCAATTGTTTGAGGACCGCCATATTTCTTGGCGATCCACCGTAATCGTGTTCCTCGCTTGATTCGGTCGATCGATGTGCTTTTTGTGACTGTCTGCTTAGGGAAGGTGTGCCCGTGAAATATGTAGATATTCTCAGAGCGCTATACGTGGCTAGCTCGGGAAGAGTGAGGGCTTACGGCAAACAGTCGCCGCCATTCACCATCTCCAGCGATGTAAGATGGGGATGCTCACTGTCACCATTCCTCTTCAACTTCGTTTTTGACGAAGTCATGAAGACCACGTTCACAGTGCACGACTTGGAAGGTGTTGAGCTTCTCCCTGGAGAACGATTTATTGACTTGGAGTATGCTTACGATATTGTCCTTATCTGTAACAGCTCCCAAACTTGCCAAGCTTCATTGGACAGATTAGCACTGGCTGTGAACCATTTCGGACTTTGCTTTTCAACTCCAAAGTGCAAACCTTCCTTCCAAGATTGACAGGAGCCACCTACTGCACTGACCCTTAGTAGGGACCAGTTAGAAGTCGCTCAAAAATTCAACTACCTTGGTAATTTTATCAGTGTCTGTGAAATCGAAGACGAGATCACCAACCGTATAACAAAACTACGAGGTGTTTTTGCTAACCTTCGCCACCTATGGCGCCAGTGCGACATCACTTCCCCTGAAGCGCAAAGTTTGCCATGCAATTTTCCGTTCAACCCTCCTGTACCGTTGTGAAACCTGGCCGATCAGGTCGACAGACATAAAGAGGCTCGTCACCTTCGACCATCGCTGCCTTCACACCTTAGCTCATGTCTAGATGGAGAACCGCGTGAGCAATGAGCTTGTTCGGCGTCGTGTATTTGGTTCAGGAAAAACTAGTGAACCGCTGAGCACCATTATATGAAACACCAGGCTCCGATGGTTGGGCCACCTGTTGCGTATGCCAATACACCGACTCCCGCGACGTACATTGTTTGCGCGCAGGGGTTGTGGATGAAAGAACAGAGGTGTCGACGACTTAGTCATGTTGAATGTAGTCCCTCCTTTCTAAGTTGGCTTCGGTTGTTTTATCCAGACTGCTGGGCTCGGGTCCGAAAGACGATGAACACATTTGATTGGTTACGATTGTTAAGATGGCAAGGACCTGACCACAGTGGCGTTTGTGTTGTGAGTTTTTTTGTCCGTCCCCATCCCGCTGTCCTCCATCTCCCACCAAGATCTCTTGACGCTTAATCTGTTACTAACTAGTGTG